TAACTTTTGGGTACTTTACACTGTCGCACCGTTACTTTTTTCTGCTACTGTTAAAGTACCAAAGAGTATTTTATTTTATATCATAACATTATGCATTTCTGATTTAATGATTATGACTGGTAAATTTTCTCTTTTTTTTGGGTTAATAATTAATAAGTTAATAAAAAATAACTTAATAATAATTACATAGTTTTGGCTTAATAATAATAATAATAAATGAAATGAGCTGATAATAATTATATGGTTTTGGGTTAATAATAATAAATAAGTCAATAGAAAAATGATAATAAAAAATAAGTTAATAAGTTAGTAATAAAAGATTAAATTAAATTAGTAGTTAAGGCGAATATGTATCACATCATTACAAATGAATGAGAATGTATAATTGATAAAATAATTGTTCAATAAAATTATTAATTATTATCATTAATCAATAACTAATTTTTACAATCAGAAATTAATTCATAAATATGAAATGAAAGAATTTTAGGAATGCTTTTTCTAATAATTGATATAGTTGTTGGTACTTGGAAATTTAGCACATTCTCGTGTGTTGCATACCTTGTCTTCGAAGCAATGAATAAATTTGTCGCACCTGTAATTGTGGTACTAATTAGTCGGACATGCTATGTGACGGTATGTCTCGACCCAAAAAGTCGACGAGTAGCTGCAAGTTTAAAAGTAATTTAAAAATATTTCAATTTCAATTTGTTATTTCATATTTTTAAATTACTGACATTTTTTTCTTAAATCCATATACTTTTTATACAAAAAATTTGTTAAATCATCAAATATTTTTTCTTTTCTTTTTTTTAGAAAAAAATAAACTTTCTTTTAATAAAAATTTTTTGCAAAAAAAAATTTTTTAGTAATATTAGAAATGAAATAAATTTTTTTCATACATTTCCTTGTTTTTTTTTAGTTAATAAATTTTTTTTTAATTTTTATTAGTTTTGTCCTTTCTTTAAAAAATGTGTAAAAAATAATTTAAGCTAAGAATACTTTGCAATAATTCTTAAAGATTTGTAGAAAAAAATTTTCCACTTTCTAATTCTATTAATTTTCTCTCTCTCTCTCTCTCTCTTTCTCGTTCTTCTATATTCTTTTTTTTCTTAATTCATTAAAATTAACTTAATTAGTTTGTAGCATTAATATTTAAAAGATTTGTATAAATTAGACATCAAATCCTAAATTATATGCTAATAATAAAATAAATAAACAATAAACACATATACTAATGCAAAAAAAAAAAAAAAATTGCTAATTAATTGTAAATGAATAAAGCATATGAATGTATTATTAATGCAAAATGCAAAATAAAAATAATTGAATAAGTATAAATTGTAAACAAAATAAATGACAAAATATAAATCAAACATTTTGCTAAAAATTAACAATAAATTAAAATAAATGAAATGTCAAAATAATTTTAAATAACTTGCAAAAGTCAAAAAAAAAAAAAAAGGAAAATAATTTTAAAAAAATAATAATTTTGAACTAAATAAATTAAATAATAATTTTTGCAGTATGCAATAGCCCAAGTAATTGCATCAATGGCACTTGTAATGATAATGTTATGGCCACTTTTTGTATATAGCCAAGTGTCAACGCTTTATTTCAATGCTAATATCACATTAAGAACAGTTAATGTATTACGTAAATGTACCTTTATGCCACCATCTGGTCAGTTTATTTTTGGCTCTTTTTTTTTTTCTTTTTTGTTTATAAATTCTAATGATATTATCATAATTATTATTTATTATCATTTTATAATAATATTTTGGATCATTTAGAAATTGTTTTAAAATAAGCAATAATAATCACTTAATAATAATAATAACATTTAAAAAATAAAAATAAATAATAATAATCATTTAAAATTAAAAAAAAATAATAATCATTTAAAAATTTAAAAAATTATAGAAATTGAACTTGGCTTTGGTATTGTATCATGCATTGCAAGTTATGCTATACCATTAGGTGGTATGATTTATTGGTATGTTTCGGTGCCATTTTTTTTAAAACGACATGCAGGTAGTTCACTTACCTCTAACAAGTATGTTTCACTTTTTTTTATTACCTATAATTTTAAGAGTTACTTTTAATATTGTTGTTGTTTTGCTTTTTGTTTTTTAAATTCTTAAAATATATTTATGGATTTTTGTCATAGCTAAAGAAATTAAAGTTTTTTTATTAATTTATTTTTTGTTTATTTATATGTTAAAATGAATAGCACTCTGATAGCAATGAGATGTTTACATTTTTTTCTTCTTTTTCACTTCCATTCCATTTATCCTAAAGCAATGATGACTTTTAATCTTTCTTTTTTCTTTTTTTATGAAATTACTTCAATGAATGTAAAAAGAAAATTAGTAAAATTGAAAGAAAGAAAAAATGCATTAAAATTTTTTAATTGTCAAAATAGCCATACAAAATAATTTTAATTTTAATTTACAGTTGTAGTGCAGCACCATTACGTCGACTTATTGCAACTGTATTGGTGCTTACAGCAGTGTATGTGTCATGTTGGTCACCTTATTGGTTGAGTATTTTTGCGCACAAATTTATAAATAGGATGAGTCGAACTGGTCAGTTTAATTTTTTTTTTTTTTTTTAATTCTTATCTTTGTCTTTGTTTAATTGTTAACAAGAACTTATAGAAATGAAATGAAATTTTAGTAATTTTTTGTAGATCAAAAAAAACTTATTGTTATTGCGTTTGTTTTATGATAGAATAATATAAAATATTAAATTTTTTTATAAAAGAATAATTATTGATTAATAAATTGATGAAATTAAAATTTTTATTCAAAACTATGATTTTTTTTCTTTTGCAGGAAGCAAAATTTAAAGATCTTTTTGTTTCTTTGAAATTGTAAATGTTTCGGTTTATAGTGATTTTTTTTTTTATTGAAAATGCTTCGCACTTTTAAAAACAGAAAAGTTTTAAAAAGGATTTTTTAAAAAAAAAACCTTTTTTTTTTGAGAAAGTTTATTTCTTTTGTTATTATTATCAGATATTAGTTTAAATGGTAACAATTTAACTTTAAATGATAATATTTGATTATAGAATTGTAAGTTAAAATTTGCCAAAAGATCGTTCGTTAACTCAACAAGCAATAATTTTTGACAAATTTATCAATCATAAAATAATCTTACTAACGTTTAATACATTTATTCTAATAAAAATTTTTTTTACAATAAATTTTTAGCATCTTTTTTTTGTTGAAATTAAAATTATTATTTAAAGCTTTTTTTTTTTTTCAAATGTGAAATATGGAAATTTTAGTGGTGATAGCATCATATTACATTCATCTGCTACCGTATATCAGTTGTTCCGCATATCCGGTCATATTTACGCTCCTGAACCGTCGTATCAAAATGGCTCGTGCGCAAATGCATTGGCATCAAAAGCGAAAAAAATTTACATTTATTAAATCAAATCATATAACTGAGCAATATTCAACGTAATCATTGCATATATTAAAATTAAATTTGAAATTTTACTAAAATTATATTTGAATACTAAATAATTACTAATAAATGTATGTCTCTCTCTCTCTCTCTCTCTCTCTCTCTCTTTCCCTTTCCCTTTCTTTATTATATTATTAGAAATAGTAGTATAATGAATAGATAAGTTTAAAATAAGTTTAAATTAAATTTGTGAAATTTTTAAACTAACTTTTAGCACTTTCTTTCGTTTTTTTTAATCGGAATTAAATTTTATAAATTTAAAATAGCAATTTATTGTAAATTTATTATTTTTAATAAATAATTAATAATTCATTGTAGTGAAGTACCATCATTTGGAATATCAAACATTCTACGCGTTTGCTTTCAATTTTTATCAAATTTTACACATCAAAGTCAATTAAATTCAAAAAATAGATCCAATTCAACAGCAAATGTATGCAAAGTTTTTTTTTTTTAAACAATTAATAACTAATTAGTGAGTAATTTATGTTTTCTAATAGTATTACTGACAGTATTTTGATGTAGGTGGAAAGATAAATAATGTAAGTAAGTAAGTAAGTAAAGTGTATACTTTACACATTTAAACATTTTTTTGTTTACTATGCTAATAAGGCTTATACTGATACACTTTAAGCTTTTACTCATTATCTACTATGTTAATAAGGCATATACTGGTGCACTTTAGGCTTTTACTTATTGTCTACTATGCTAATAAGGCACATACTTATATACTTTAGGCTTTTAGTTATTGTTTGTTATGCTAATTGCATAAAGCAAGTAGAAAATTAATTAAATATAAAATTATTTAACTTGCAAATTGATTTGTTCTTTTTTAGCAGAGAAAGAAAGAAATGGAATATTCGAGGAGAAATTCAATGAAATCACAATTTGCTAAAGTTGCTCAAGCAATTACAGCGAGTAAATCATCATTACAGGAAGAACAACAATCATTGGAATTGATCGAAATGCAAGAAGATGATTTCCTGTTGTAGAATTAAATTATGATTTCACTATTTATTTATGAAAATATATTTTAAAGAAATGTTTTAATGAAGAAATAAATGGAAGCAAAAATTTTAAACTTCAAAAACTATTTAATAAATACAAATTTTTAAATGATAAATTATCTGTTACTAATATTTTTAACATTATTCCATGCTAATGCAATAGATCGAAAATATTTTGCAAAAAAAGAGAAAAGAAAAGGTCAAGTTTTTTAATCTTTTAATAAAAGGTCAGATTAGTGATTTCTGATCTTCTAATCAAATATCATTTGAATAAATCTTTTTGAAAATCTTCAAAAAAAAAAAAAAGGAAGAAAAGAGAAATGATAGCAAAGACTGATTAATAATGAATTGGGATTGTTTTTTTGAGAAAATGTTGAAAATTTTTAATTTATTATACTAAATAACAATTACAATGCTATAAAAGTTTATGTCACAGAAAAAAATGTTTTTTAATTGCTAAATTAAAAATGAAATTTATTTGAATAAAAACTTTATTAACTTATTATCACGAAATCAAAATTATGTAAAAGCATTTTCCACTTCTTTTTGATCAATCATATCATCACCATCATTACTTTCCTGTCCTTTTGGTAATGAAGTACCATCATCTGAATTATTTTAAATATTTTAAATTAACAACAAAATTCTAATTCACCTATATTTGATTACTTTGAAATAATTTAACATTATTTGCAATTAAGCATCATCATTTCAATTTAAACTAAATTATATTCTCTTACTTAAATTCTAGCTAAATGATAAATATTCATTTTTTCAAATGTTTTTGTTTTTTAACTTTTACCTTTACGTTTCATTTCGCTACTCTCTTCATACTTATTATTACTTTTTGGAGAAATTTTCCAATTTTTTTCACTTTTTACACTTCTTTGCTTTAATTTTTGATTCAATTCGTTTCTGTTTTTCTTCTTTTTTTGATGTTTTTCAATTCGTCCATCACTTTTTTCACTTTTACTTCGAATTTTTTCATCTTTTAGCATTTTAGCACTTTTTTCTTTTGATTCTCCTTCAGATAACTTCTTTTCCTCTTTTGATGATTGATTTTGTGAACTTTCAGCAAGAAATTGCGGCAATTTTTTGCTTTTTACCAATTTATTATAATCCTAAAAATACATCGAACAACAACAAAGCATAAACATTTGTAAATGCATACACTAATTAATTTAACTTAAATTTTTACTTCCTAATTTATGGCTATTTTTGGCTCTTATTTTGCTAGTTAATAGCCTAGAAATGAAACTATAACTGAAATACATTGAAATATAAAATATAATTTTGATAGCATATTATGATTTCTCTCTATTAAATGTTAAATTGAATGAATGATAGATGTAATTATTTAATTTATCTTTCATTTATTCTAACCATATTCTTTCTTAGTTATGAAAATTACAATCGATCGAAATAATTGTTTGACTTTATCAATTTTTTTTTTTTTTGCTTTTGTTAAATAACTTTATTAAATGACATTTAAAGAATTACTTTGTTAAATAACTTTACATTCTAAATATTTTATTTACGCTTAATTTCTTTTTTTGGCTAATAATTAGCAACAAATAAAGATAAATTATATAGATAAATAGATAAATGTAGAACCTCAGGTAATGGTACTTTCTTTGGTACTCGAAATTTCACTTCACATTCTTTTTCATTTATTGCTGCATTTGCAATTGATGAAATGTCATTTTCAATAAATGAATTAAGTAATTTGTCTAATTTATAATCAATTCGTGACCAATCTTTTGCTTTAGTCTATAAAATAAAATAAATTTATTTTAATAGAAAATTCTGCGTTTTTTTTATTTCTATTTCTAATTATCTTTTCACATTTCTAATCAAAAATAAATAAATAAATAAATGAGCTAATTTTTATTTATTTATTTTTTTTTATTCTTATTTAAATTAAAAAATAAATAAAAATAGTTGTTATCAGAAAATGCTTACTTTTTTAGCTTTCATATGAAATAATTCAGGATCAGGAAAATCATTTAGAACAATACGTCGACGTGTCGCTAACGCTTTGTATACGTTACGCAATTTATGTGGTTGCGTTTCCGTATCGGTTGTTGTTAGAAGTTTAGTGAAAAATAATTTTCGTCTTATAATTTCATCCATTACATAACTATGAATTCGTACCTTTAAAAAAAAAAGAAAACGTATTCTGTAAAAGTGTAAATACGTAAAAAGTACGTGAAAAAGACAAAAATGCGTTTAACATATTTTAGTGTTCTTATCATTCAATCATAAGCTTATCATAATAAAATATGTTAATTTATTCATTACTAATGATAATTTATTTTTAATAATTATAAGGCCAACATTTCTGGCTCGTTTTGCTACGTCATTGACACGTCTCCGATGATACGAATTTGGTAAATCAACAATTTCTTTAATAACAGCTGCTACATCTTCTTTAATTGCATCACGTAAAAGCGTATTTTTATTAGACCAATATGGCCAAAATGAGCCAATAAAAACCTTAAAAATATTCAATTTTCATTTTTTCAAACAAAAAATTAGAATGAAATATAAAAAGTATAAATAATTAAAATTAATTAAATTCATTTTAGACATAAAAGTAACTAAACTTTATTAAATATCCAAAATTTTGAATAAAAAAACAGTATTTTTTGAAATTATATTGTAAGCATAAGGTAAATTTTTTCTTTAAAAAAAAAAAAAATGAAACCAAAAATAGAAAATACAGAGATAAAATTTTTGAAATTAAAAAAGGAAATAAAGTAACTGTCATTACTTTTGGTACTTCGGGACAACGCATAATTTTTCCAAGTGCCCACATTAGTGCACCACGTACGTGAACTAATTCACGTGGTCTAACCCAGTCAGCTTTATTCAGGATAATCTTAATTTTATCTTCGCTACCTTCCAAAATTTGAATAACCTATAATGTTAAAAAAAAAAATCTGAAATATACTAACTTTGAAAAATTAAATTATTTCATTATTACTTTGAAATAATTAAATGCGTTTAAATATTTTTTTTATATCAAAAAAAAAAATGTTAATTTTTTAGAAACCTGTTTATATTCATCGCTAATATCAAGTTTATTAGCATCAAATAGCAAAAATATACAATCAACTTTGCTTGATAAAAATTTGATAACTTGTGCAAAATCATAGCCTCTATTTTCCACCTATAAATTTTTCATTGTCAATTAAATAATTAGATAAAAAAAGACATCCAAGTCTTTTTTTAAAAAAAATTATAAAAGAAACTTTAGAATACTTTGCTACAATTTTAATTTAAATGAAGTAAAATTTAAGTAAAAAAAAAGCAACGAAATACTGTTGCTAATTTGAAAGAAGCATATAACTTGCTATAGTGATAAGAATGATACCTGTTTATCACCGGTAAGAATACCAGGTGTATCAATGATTGAAATATATTTTAAAAGTGGTGCATTGAAACGTGTAGCTCTCAATTTATTCAGAAATACATCACCAAATATTTTCAATGACTAAAAATTTTCTAACTTTATAATGATATTATAATTTTTCTAAATTCATGGTAATATTTGATAATAAATAATTGAATATTGAATTGATTTTTTTGTCATATTTTTAATAAAATTTATTTATGTTAAATATTAATTAATTATATAAAACATTGAATAAGATGCGATTTCCTTAATATTCCAAATGATCAATCTAACGGTGCCAAACTTTTTTTTTGTATTTCGAAAATTTTCAATTAAAACAAAACGATCCATCTGTCTTATTCTGACCGATAAAAAATTTTAACTTATGAAAGAAACACATAGACCTGAAATATAAACCTGAAATTGATAATTTGGATCAGAAGCTAATGTTATGCCTGATATTGTTTGTGTTTTCTCGCTATAATCGACGTGCGCAAAGATATCAGTTGTTGGTTCTGGCCCAATATCAGCGCCAGGATAATTACCATTTAAAAGATATGAGATCATTGATGTTTTACCCACAGAATATTGGCCAAGTAATAATATTGTTGGCTTACCCTAAAATTTATACCCACAGAATATTGGCCAAGTAATAGTGTTATTAGTTTACCCTAAAATTTATGTTATTTAGCACTTGTATTTTACAAATAAATTTTTTTCAAAATAATAACATTTGATAAAATTAATGAGAAAGATAAGAAATATCTAAAAAAAAAAAACATTTACATTTCTTTTTTTAAATTTATTCTCAAAATATAATTAATTTATTCCAAAATTTTGTTTTTTTTTTCGAGTAAATTAATTAATGACAACTTATTTATTGTTTACGCTAAAATTATTCATTAAATATATTAACAATATTTGAATTCAAAATTGAAAACAAACCATAAATTCTTGATCACGTAATGGTGGTGTATCAAATTCACTGTATAAATAACGCTTTTCAGATGGTATTACTTTTTTTTCATAAGCAGATTTTAGAGCCTAAAACACTTTAACACTTCAATTTTACTTTAAGTAACACTAAAAGTAAAGATTTTGATTATTAATAATTTATATCGTAAGATTATTTTAAAGTTAAAAAAATTATACCAAACCTCCATTGCACCAACAATAGCAGGATCTGGTAATGGTTTCTCATCAGGTTTACACATTTTAAAGTTTTTTTTTTGTTCAGAAATCAAGCAACCGATTTATAAATTTCAAATTCAATTTTGAAATTATGAATTAATAGAACTGATTTATTCTTATATATATGCACTTTTCTAATAAATTGGTAATTTTTATGCAAATTTTCAAAAAAAAAAAAATTATTGAATTGCTGCCAAACAAACATACAGCATCATTTAACGTATATTTCACGTCAAACGTGATTTTAATTGAAATCAAAGTAGGCGAAAAATTAGAAATTTATCTCTTTGTTTGTATTTTTGTTGATGAAATGAATTAGAAAAACTTAAAATAATGAGATGATAATACATCAATCAACATTTAATGCTATAAATATTTTGGCCAATTAAAGAAAATCAAAAATTAGCCTAGCAACAAACATATAAATGTGTTTTTTTTTTCAGTTTTTTTAAAAAATTTTTTTCAACCAAATAAAAATATTTGTTTAAAAAATTTAGCAAAAAATTTAAAAGAGAAATTTTTTTTTTGTATTTAATTAAAATATTTGCTGTCACATTGTTAATAAATCCGAGCAGAAAAAAATCAATACGTAAACTTTTATATTTTTATTTTTTATTCAGACGTGAAATTCTATTTTTGAACTCAGCTCATTTAGTTAAAAATAGTTGCTATTATACTTTCAATATTTACTAAATAACTAATTAAGCAATTGTGGTCATTTCAAAGAGAAAATTATTTGTAGGTAATTAATTTATTATGATTCATCTTCATGAAATGTTATAGTTACAAATGATTTTATAAACAAAATTATTTTATTTTGGTTTGTCCCAAAATTTTGTCCATTACAATATTTATTACCAAAAAAAAAAAGTTTTTGGTTTGATTGTTTTTTTTTCCTTTAAATTCCTTTTTATAATTTCTAAGTGTGCGAAGAATTTGAAATGTAAAATAAAATAAATGATAAAATAAATAAGTTTATGTTTTAATCTTATTCAATTTTTATTTTTTTCAAAAAACGAATTATAACAAAGAATTGAATTAAATCATTGCTATAAAATTGTTTTTTCAATTAATTAATTAATTAAGCTATTCCATAGGAAAAAAAATTTTATAACAATTAATTAGCATTGTTTTTTATTTCAACCATTGCTTGAATTTGTTACTTAATTTCATTTAAGCATTTTTATCATTTTCATTTTTTTTCTTTCTATTTATTTTTTTTTCTATCATTTTTTTTTAATGAGTTTCAGCACTTTTTTCTTTTTTTTCCGTTTGCTTTTCCGGTTTATCTAATTTTATGCTAGCTATTTGCTCTTCCATTTTCTTTCTCTTTTTACTAATTTTTTGTCCTTCTGATTTATCCGATTTTAAATTCATTTCTTGCACCGTTTTCTTTTCCGATTTCTTTTCGTTTTCTTTTTTTGATTCTTTTAAATCTATTTCTTCAATAGTTGTATATTTAGGTGCTTCTTTCAATGCTGCATTACCAGCATTAATTTCAGCTTCACATTTGATAAATGCTGCAAGAAATTCATCTTTTGCTTTCCGCTCGAATTGATACTGAAATTAGTCATTGAAAAATAGAAAAAATGATGACAACTACAGTATTAATAATTAAATAAAATTTAATAGCAGAAGTGAAAAAAAAAAAAAAAAGAAAATGAATCAAATAATCCATTAATCCTTGATTATCATCAAATTATCCATTAGGAAATTAGAATTAAAACTAATTTAATTATCAAAAAGTAATGGTAAATTTATGAATGCACTCTTTAATCATTTCCACCATAGCTTTAATTAATAATAAATTATGTTACAGTAAGTAAACGCGTTACGGTAAACGTGTTACAGTAAACGTTACCGTAAGCAGTGAATCATTAAAGAAAGAAGTATCATCCAAAGCAAAATAGCAATTTGTTTGAAATTAATTTACTTCCTTCCTTCCTTTTTTTTTTTTTTTTTTGTAAGTATATTTTACAATGAAAAACTTACATTTTTTAGCATTAAAACTTTAAGGCATTGCATATGATGTCTATGTACAGCTTTATAACGCATTACCTTAAAAGTTATCGATGATTTTAAAATTCATAAACTATACAAATTTTAATTTTAACAAATACACATTAATTCCTTTTTTTTTTTTTTGTTAACATAGTTAAGAGAAAGAGAAATAATAAGTTACCTCATTTTCAACTCGTTCAAAAAATATTTGATGTTTATTTTTAGCTTCTTGCGCCCTCATAAGACGTTCAGGTGTTTTCCGTGCTTCTACACTTGCCATACTTCGATCCATTTTATCTTTTAAATAATAACACTTTTTAATATCCTAAAATCAAAATCTAAAATAAAACATAAGAATTTCAAATCTGAAACAAAACACAATTTTGTCAAATTTAACAATTTTTGTAATGCACCATTTCTTACTTTTACTATTTGCATTTGCTTTTGAAAAAAAAAATTTTTTTATTGTTCTAATTTCTTTTCTTTTCATATTTTATTTTATGCTTTTTTTTTTCTCTCAGACTTTATTAGTTTTTAAAATTTGCTAAAGAGTATTCAAATTTTATAATTCAGTTGTAAATTTTATAATTGAAATAATTGAATTTAGATAAATAATAATGATAATAATCCTTTTTGAAATTTCATATTTCATTCCATTTATGATTAATAAATAAATGCATACAAATAAATGGCATCAAATGTATTAAAATTTTTATTTTTTTTTTTTTTGGATTTTTTAAAAACTTTTCTTTCTTTTTTATTTTATAACATTACAGAATTGTAATAAATTTAAAAAAAAACAGAAAATTTCAAAGTTCATTGTTAAATTTTCTATTAAATTAATTTATTATCAAGTTAACTGATAAGCAACTTTCATAAGCCTTGGATAATCTTCCTGAATCCAACTTTTCATTGGTACAACTACTCGTTGAAATGCATCCATCTGCGCTTCACGTTCCTGTTTTGCAACCGAAATGCAAACTGTTGCTGTTGCTTGCAGTGCTTCATAAAAACTACCAGAAACAAAATATGGCATATACTGTAACAAAGAATTATCTTTATTTTTATGTATTTTATTTTAAAATATAAAAATTTGATTATAACTAACTTTCACAAACGTAAATATTTAATTTTTTTCCATAATGAATTGTATATTTTATTTGTTTCTTTCTCATTTCTCTTTTGATTATACAATGAATTTCAGACAAATAAATCTTTATAATATATGTTAAATCAATATTTGCTTTTCTTACTTTGCTTGCAAACACTGATGACAATAGCGCTCTAATTTGTAATCTATCAAGAAATGTGCCTTATCTCACTTTCTTTTTTCTAAAAAGCAAACAAATTCTTGAAATCCTATAGGAATTTTTAATACTTGCTTAAAACTACACTACTAGTTATAAAGTATAGCGATTAGTCTCAATTTAATAAATACTAATGTAAACAAAATAACCTTTTGCGCTACATGTGCCAATTGTTCTAAATCATTCGGCTTGGAATGACGTTTTGGCTGTGAAACACTAATTAACTTTTCAATTGCTGCCACAACATCTTGAGTATACTCTTGTGTTATCTGAAGTATGATTAAGGATTACAAAGGACTTTATGACCATCAATTTATACTTAAATTGAAATTTAGATAGCTAAAAGTGACATCAACTGAATGCGCAATTGGTAAATTGCTGCTATGGTGACAAATACTGGTGACAAACGTTTATTTCTCATTGTGTTCAACATATGCATGCACTATTGTTCTCAATGATTAGAATTCTTTAATTTCAATTTAGAAATGATTAAAACTTCAATTATTTAAATGAAAATTATCAATAAGACTTATTGACTAACCTTTATGAAATTAATTGCTTTTTCGAAATTATCTGGATAAGCGGATAATTTCTTAATTTCATTCAAAGTTTTTGGCATTACTAAAAAATAAGTTTGTATAAACTTTTCAAAAATTTTTACAAAACCAAAACAGAAGAAAATTTTCAAAAAAAAAAAGATCCGATTTGATCAATTCACTTACAAATATTTTTTGATGTAAACAACCGTTCCGGAAATAATAAGTCAATGAAGTGATAATGATTTTTGATTATAATATATTTATTATAATATTATAAAAATAAACACATTTTTTTTTTAATTTGATGATTTCATCTAATCGAATATTTTACAATTCTAAAAAGATATTTCACATAAAATTATTTACGTGAAATTTCTTTCTTTTTTTTTCAGAAAAAAAATGTGTTAAATAAGTTTTGCATATATTTTGGAATAATTTTGATTAATTATTTCATCAAATGCAAAATATGAAAAAATAATATTTTTGATTTGTAAAATTTTTAAAATTAATCGTTTTTTTTCCAATTACTAAAAATTTATAAATCATTTCAAAATATATTGATTGTATTTATATGTAAAATTTAAAAAACAATAATATTTTAGTTTATTTTTTTTTTTTTGCATATTGCTGAGATAATCGAGTGCTTCTTTCATTTATTAATTATTTATGCTATAATTATTCATTTAAAAAAAGAAAAGAAAAGCTCCTAGCTGTTATTTACAGTAGTATAAAGAATTAATGAATAAATTATCACAGTTCATTAATTTAATATTTAACATTCTTAAATTTAATATTTCTAAATATCAAATATTTTTAAATAACATTTCTAAAATATGAAATTTTGTAAAATATGTGATAATTTAAACTTTGATTTGTAGTATTATTAAAGATTAAATGCTACAAAAATGGCTAATTTATGATTTGTAAACTTTACAATTGATTATATTTCATTTTGAACGAATATTTATTCATTAATATTATTCATTAATAAATTTACTAAAAAAAAAAAAAATAACTAAACAATAATAGAAATGAAATTATTACAGTGACAGCTATTAAAATATAATTATTAAAAAAGAATAAATATAAGATTTGATTATAAAATTATCATTAATTAATTAATTAGCCAGTGAGAAAAACATATAAAAATATAGCATTCATAAATATAAAATATAAATTATATAGCCATTATTTCTTAACTAATAGCTATTACCAAATAATTTATAATAATTAGCAAATAAATTTAATTACAAAAAAAAAAAAAATAAATAATGATAATCATAAATATTTCAATAGAAAGGCTAAAAATAGATAATATATCGAGAATGTGTAATATTTGAAATATTGTTGATTGCAATTAATATGCTTAAATAATATTAGTAAAAATCTTATTTATTACTTTACTTACTTTTACTTACTTACTTCACATACCTGTTTTTCTTGTTACTTTAATTAATTTCTAATTCATTATGCATTATTAAAGCGCTAAGAAAAGTTCAATATGCAAAAAAAAAGAAACAATATTACAAATTTTATGTAATTAATCATTACAGTTATTTTTAACTTTAATAAAATTGTAATAAACAAATTGTAAAAGTTTTTATGGTAAAATTAGTTTTTTATTTTTTTTTTTTTGCGTATATTTTTATTAGTATCTGAAATAATAATTTGTATTGTTGAACAAAAATTTTCCACTCTCCATTTTTTGCCTTTCATTAATTATCACTTTATTTTAGTTTTTATTTTTTTAATTACTTTTTAATTTTTCTTTTATTTCGCTTTTTATTTTAATAACAGGAAAATTTACAACCATAATTTTAGCTATTATTTGTATATGAAAATTTGTTTACCTAAGAACTGATTAAAACACATTGTTACCTTTTTTGATATTGAATTGAACTAATTTAAAAGCAATAATTTACCTGTAGAACTTAATAAATAACTTAATGGAAATACACAAATGATTTATTCTTTATTACCTTAAATATTCTTACAACATATGTGACTCTTTTTTGTGTGACACACATGTTAGCTAACAAAAATTTCAACTTTTTCATTATTTTTTTTTTAGCATTAAATTATCCGAAAAAAAATTTGATTTAAAGTATCAGAAAAACAACTTAGAAAATATTATCATTAGTACAATTTTTCATTTGAAATGAAACAAAATTTCCTTTTTTTTAAAAAAAAAAAAAAATATTTGAAATGAACTTAAGATGCATCAAAAAGTTGAAATGACAGTTGTGCAATTCAGGTATTCAATTAAATTTGACAAATGAAATAGCTTTTTTAAAACAACAGCTTTAATTTACTACAGTTGAGGACTTTTTTTTTTGAACGTTAAATGAAATTTTCTAACAAAATCATAAATACTTAATTTTCAAGTCTTTGATTACTCAGTTTTGAATTTTCATATAATATTGAGAGGATGAATTATATTATTCAATAAATTCATTAATCAAAAAGAATTCGAAATTTATAACCAAAAAAATAGAGGCATCTGTTAAAATGAAAAGAAGCAAAAAATTTGAAAGAATTGACATAAGACATTAGAAAAAATGAATGATTTTATTTTTGGTAATAAAAAATATTTTTATATTACATAACAAATTTGATGCAAAAAAAACGAAAAAAAAATCTTTTAATAAATAAATTTCAAAAATGAATTATTTGGCATCATCAATTTAAAATATCAATATTTCTCGATTAATAAACGATTTGCATTTGAGTATAGTAATTTCAATTTTAAGTTAAAATTAATTTATTGCTCTGGGTTATTACTGTTAATATAATGATGAAAGAATATAATTTATTGTGCTTTTTTCCATATCGATAATATCTAGAAAATAAATGATTAGTAGAAATTAAATTTTTGATCATTTAGTTTTATTTTTGATCAAGATAATTCTCATTGACCATTAAAATTTTCAAGATTATTTTTTCCCACCCTTAATTTTTTTGCAAATATTCAATCATTTAATAAATTAATCAAAAATTTCGAAATTTATTTAGCAAAGTTAAAAAAAGAAAACTAATCAGAAAAAATTAGTTAATTTCATATTTTTTCCTTCATCTGATAAATTAATTGTCTAATTTGAACATTTCTGTCGCATTTGTCGCATCCAAAATAAGTTTCATAAATCGATGAACTATGAAGAGGTAAAATTTGTTATACTTCGGAAGATTATTTTCAATTAAATCAATGCTGATTTGATATGATATAATTGCTTGATCATAATGAATCTTTGAATTTGAATAGTTTATTGATGCTCTCAATCCTAAAATTCAAAATATTCTTTACATAATTAAAAGAATAGCTAATATATTTGAAATGAAGAAATTTTCATTTTTTCATCCGTGCAAATTTCTTCTCTTTTACTGGATGTCAACACATATATTAGAGTTAAATAGTTTAAAATTAATCTTCAAAATTCAGTTTAAGTAATTTTCAGTTGTCAGAAATTACAATTAGTCATTAAAATACTTTCTTATTAGCTATGAATTATAAAAAGCATAAAAAAAATTTCTTTAAAGTATAACTGTAAGCTATAAAAAAGAAAGTTTTTTTTTTTTTATAATTACTTTTCCCTAATGAAAAATGTGGGATTAAAAATGCTTGAAAATTAATTTACATTGTTCTGATCAAAAGATATTGAAGGCGGCGCAAATCCATCTTCCTATGCCATCTTATTTTTTTTTTTTTTCTGCTATTTTGAAAATAAATATGGTAAAGTAAAATTGTTTTACTCACTCATATGTCCATACTTGGCAAGAAACCAGTGACAATTGCCAGTCATTAATTGATGTAATGCAAAGGCGCATTTGTCGTACGGAATTTCCATGCACAACAATTCATTAAGCCAATAGTAATACAAATCAACACAATCACTTTGTATGCTACGCAATCTACTATTTGCGCCATTTTGTTCACGTATGCTTATTGTTTGTTGATTTTGTTGAAAATTAATATCCATTTGTTTCTTCTAATATAAATTCCAATTTTTATTTTTATACTTATAAAACAAATATGAATGAATTGTACAAATGAAATTTATTTGTATGTTATTCTTGAGAAGTGATTCATTGCATAAATTTGTTCTCAATATTGTTAAGAATTATCTGAAAGATTAAAATTGAATTCATATTTTGCCATCTTCATTGTATAATTAATTAACATAATTACATTCCATTCTATATTTACCTTTATAAGATTGGTGTAAAAAGTGTTTAGAGATTGAAGTTGAGAAATATATAAATATGTCGCAGTTTCTTGCATTATTGTGACAATTTCTGCAAGTATTAAATAACAGCATTATGATAAGATTCTGATAAGATAAAAGAAAATTGAGAAACGATTACTGTCACAGAAACATCATTTCACACATCAACAAAATCCTCAAATTTACGAAAAAATTTTTTTTTTACTCAATTCTGCTATAATCCACAATTATTCTTTATACTTTATCATGTTTAAACATTTAGCGATCAGTAAAACTTTCCTATCAATTTGCTTGTTAACCTATTCCTTTGCACATTTCAATGAAAGAAAAGTTCTTCAGTCTTTTTTGAATGTCAAAATAACATGTATTTGTCATAAATTTGACTTACACATGCTTATTTAGATTATTTTATAAGTTTGAAGAATGATAAAACTTGAAATGCTAAAATCTATTTTATATTTCACTAGCAATCATCATAACAACAAACATAACAGTTACAATTAAAACAAATTGAGGATTAGTGGATCATGACTTATCTAATTAATCAACATTTACTTATTATTCATAATTATCAAAATGTAAAAAATGATAAAAATGAAGAGTAACACTGAATGAATGAATTGATAAGGGAAAGAGAGAGGGAAAGAATTAAGCAATAGATGAAAATAATGATGTAATGATATTTTCTTCCATTGATAAGCAATGCCCATAAAAGTATTAATCAATTTCAGCTTATATTTTCATAGCATTTCAAAAGAAGAAAAAGCGTACCTTTATCACTACAGAGGGAAGAAGTCTACTAGGCATACTATCAACAGTTTGAATCATTTGGCTATTACAAATATTATTAGACTGCCCTTTTTTTTTATTTTTTAAATAAATTCATTCTGTTACACCTCGAAATTATCTATTCATAGCACAAAATTTATATAAAAATACATTATGTGATGAGTTAAGCAAAAGGACAGAAAACATGCTTCTAATTTACATTTCTGAAGTTACAGAATGTAGTAAAATCTATTTTAAAACAAAAAAAAAAAAAACCACGGTAAACAGTGAACAACGTACGAACAAAATGTATCAATCTCAGAAATGTTAAAACTTTAATTAGAAATTCGAATGTTTGGCAAATAATTTAATCAATCACCTAGCGTATAGAAAAGAAAAGTTTATAATTGACATTCTTATAACTTTTGCATCACAATTTTTCATAATTTCGAAGCAATCTATACGCCAGATACACTTTGTAGTATAATTTTCAATTGAACTCAAATCCCATTTTGAAATCCAGAATCGAAACGGTCTAAAATGATTTTCATTTCAACCGCAGTGCATGAATGAGCAATAAAAATAATAAACAAAGCATAAAAGAGAGAGAGAGAGAGAGAGAAGGAGAGAGAGCTGTCTCAAGAATGTGGGCTGTTTTTTGTAAAAATAACCTCTGCGCATGATCTTGCTTCGTTCTCTACAAGCAAAGTTAAAGTTGTCAAAACTGTTTCCAAATAGTTAGTTAAACTTTGTAAACTAAAATCAAAATTTAATTTGTTACTTTTTCACATCACAGTAAAGACTACTTCGTAATATCACAGTAAAGACAATCCACAAATGTGAAATTTCATCACAAGTAATCAAAATTCAAAAGTAAACCAGATCTGTAAAGCCTATCAGACATCAGCATGCTGCATTAAACTTAGCAAGTCTTACACCACAAAATGGTTTCCAAATATTCGAATTTCATAAATAAGTCTAAATAAGTACCACTTTTAGTTAGCAGATAAAAGACCAATAAAATCACCATTACTACTTGAAAAATCAAGGATTCCGACCCTAATATAGCCTCATAATACTAAATATGTGGTAACATCTGTTTTCAAGAATTGAATCCAAATACAAAAAATGAGTTGCAGATGACGATATTTAAATAAATGACATTTACTTTAAGCCTTATTCGGAACTATGTTTCCTCTTGATATCTTAGAACTAATTTCACGACAAAATTCACAACGTCCTACAATCTCCAACTTCTTCCAGCGAACGTTTTCCACAAAAGAACCAGCGGATGGGGTAAAAATCGATCTTTCAAAGTTATTCTAACAGATATGCTTCCAATTCTTTCATGAATGGAAAACTGAAACGAATTTCAAAAGAGGGGATTAAGTGTAAATTTGACAATAGATAAAGAACGATAATTTCGGAACAATCTTTCAATAAACAATAAAAATCAATTTAAGTAGAAGCTCAAAATCTTGAAATCACCATGAATATAAGTCTTTTCAAAACAATGCTTGAAATCACCAATATACTTATTACAATTACAACTAATGCTGTCATATGTTAAATTCTTTGACTTTTTTTGGGAATAGTAAGACATAGAACATTAGAATTTTTTTTACAATTCAGTAATTAAATGGTTCCAGAAAATGAAATTTACCGACAAGAAGTGAATAAAACACATCTGTTAGTAAAAAAATAAAACAAAATATAATGAATCAAGAATGTTCATTTATAACTTAAAAGAAATTAACAAAATGTTCAAATTCTCTAAAGACAAAATAATTAAATGGAAATAACATTGTGCAAAATAACATATATTTTAGGTCATCATAAACGCTACCTTTTTACGGCCGAATTGGAAACTCAGCAGAAAAACAAAAATCAATATTACTGTTCCAATTCATTCTACCATTACACCCTTCCTTGAACTTCTGAACCACTTCCAACAAATACAGCAAAAATTGAGAATGAACAAGATAGGAACACCTTGCGACTACCAACCCTCGCTTTTGTAGAAACTCAGCATGCCATATACAGTACTGTAATAAGTGAAGCGAAGATCCAGAAATTCACTGTTAACTCGGACTGAAATTGTCAATTAATTAATTGGATTGAGAAATGTTTGTGTTATTTAGTTACAATTTGATAAGAGAACATAATAAAGTCGAAGCAATACTGGATGATACCAGAATATTTTTTTTGTCTTAGTGCCGAAGATCCCAGTCGTAAAAACAGGATATTTGTACAAAATCACATAAACTTCAAATCAGACACAATCATTACTTCACTCAATTTAAAAGAACAATATAAAATTCTGGATCAATTGGCTGACTGTGGTAACGACTGGCTGCCATGCTGTTGCTGTTTAGTTACAGCTTGATGGTGCAACATGTGATACTGATCTAGGTAATGCTGTGGTGATGCCAGAGTGCTCTTCTCGCCTGAAACTGTGTCAGTAGTGAAAACCCTGGTAGCATGCGCTGTTTTTTTTATACATTCTTTTTTATATCTTTCTCAGAAAATGATAAAATTTTATTTGCATCAAATATCACCTGACTTCATTCACAAAAATATATAAAATTTGGGATCAGTTTTTAAATTACTGTATTAGTAGAGCAATATGATGAGTTAGTTTATATTAGCACTAAACTCGTTTTCCCTAATATAATTTTGACTGCGTGACAGCAAAATTATACTCACCTGGTTCAGGAAAAGCAGGTTCACAAAGGGATGTGTAATATAATTCTAACATTTGATGCATAGTAGCCGATAAATTTGATTGTGAATTATTTTGCTGCACTGATTGTGATGCTTGCTGATTTCGCTGAAATGTGAATAATAAGGCATTTATTTTTCTTGACTAAAAAAATTGGTAGAATGCTGTCGACATTTATTACTAAAACAATGTAGTGTTAGTTGCTGAATCTCATTTCTGCAGTTCAACACAAACAGTTTTTCATGAATTCTGGATAAAGTTTCATATAAAATTTTGACAAAAAAAAATGTCACTAAATGAATTCATTCTGTCTAATATATGAAAGCAGTGAAAGCATAATTCATTCTATCTAATATAATCCGGCATTTATTGCAAAAAAAGAATTTTTTTTTAACATACTATTCTTATATCTTCCGCATCTCTGCGGAAGATATAAGAATACCAAAATTTACTTGAGATAGATGCTGCGGTGTTCGTACATTAACTGCTTGCGCTAGTATAACCGTTCCTGGAGCAGCTGAGGTGAGTGCTGCAAATAGCAAATTTAAAAAAACAATTCTCATAAAAAAACAATTTTTTTTTTAATTTTTTCAAGTACGAAAATTGAGTTGGAAAACAAGCAAACTAGTAGAAATCAAAGTTGTAATTCGGAATGTTCTGAGTTCAAATAAAAAACTCACACTGTGCTGGAACTTGAGCATATACCACATTACCGTTTACGCATCCATCTGAAAACTTTTCAACATTTATTAACAATAATAAATCAATTCGCCTGAGCAAAACAGATTTAAGAAGCTATGGTGAAAGTAATGCAAATACCAAATCCAACCGTTATGACTAAGTTAAATGATTTCTGTGATATAAATTTGTATCCTTAATGAAAGTTATGATTAGCTGTTAATTATATTAATTGTAAGATGGTGTAAATTGCCATGCATAAATGGTTAAACAAAAAATTACTGATTTTAGGTGTTGATGGAGTAGCAAACGTCACTGGTGCTGCACTTTCATTACTGAGTGGTGTACTCGGTGCAGTATCAACAGTCATATTTGGTGGATCCGTTTTCATCAGGATCTTGGATAATTTCTTCCGCTGTGGGTGATAAACCAAATTCGGGTTATCTTTTAAAGCCTGCAATGTTAAAATGAACTTTTTTTAGTCAGAAAATGCTGAAATGTGACAAAAAAAATGACGACTACTATAAATAGATCTACCGAAGGATTCATAGTAGCACATCTGCTAGTGGCGAAATGTTTATCCACACTTGATCTGGATGTGTTGTAAAATGATTACAGTTACAGTAATCTGATCACTTCCTTTAAGAAATAAGCTATTTCTCCAGTCTCACCAAAAGAAGCTATTCACATTGCCCATTGAGCTAGAAATCGCAACTTAATTTGTTTGTTGTTAAAGGAAAGACAGCCTCAGCATCACTTTGAAGGCTGGCTAATAAAAAAATTGCACGAACTAGGAAACAGTAGTGGAAGCACACATAAACAAGCGCTGACACACACCCACACACAGACATACATACACACAGACAAACACAAACATACATATACACACTAACGCAAATATATCCCAAGACAGAGGTCTGTCCCTGTGCAAAGAAGGGGAAGCACATCACCCCTACCCGCACTCCACCTCCACTGAGAAAATGCTTCTCGAAATTATGTACGCTCTTCTGCAACTTTCTACTGCCTTCGTTTGTGCTGCACCGTTCGTCCATGTCCATTCACGAAGATATCCAAATACTTACCAGAAAGGAATCATAGCAATCATTCTTTACTCTTGTAATTTTCAAACTGTTTGCAAGACATAATATGAACACTTCATTGAATCAAATAGGGTAAGAAAAATTAAAATACATTTTTGTCCCACACATTGCTATGACACGTGGCGAAGCACAATTACGGTTATACTCAATGATTTATAAACGGTTTAGAACTTGTTGAGCACTTAAAAGCGAAAACCCATTTATGTCCTTTATTTTCATAATTATTGAACAGATGGAGTGCGAATTATAGTTTACTTATTTACTTCATAATCACTAAATTGTTTACCTTAAGCATTTTTTCGTAAGAAATAAAAAACACTATTCTTATTTTACATTTGCTTACTAATGCTTCAAAATAATTTTAAAAATTATCAGAAAAAAATGGCAAGAAATGCTGAACTGAAAATGACAGAAGAGTTTAAGATCGATAAACGTAACACTTCATGAAATGATTTCTATGTTGTTAAAACTACCCGAATTTATGAACTAGTAAACACTACCACGAGAAGACTGTATCAAGGCGAGGTTATGGCCGGCATCCTTTTGCAATGAAGTGAGCAAAACACGAACATATACACAGACATGAGAAGATGCACTATGCCAGCTACTAACGCAAAGTGACTAAAGTGAACCAAACACCACCTGAAGAGAGCTATATAGAAGTGCTTTGTGTAAGTTTATATGTATGGGTATACGTGCGTGTGTGTGTTGTGTGCTAACGTGGATGAATACCTATGTATGTGTGTGCATGTGCATGTGTTGCACATGCGTGTATGTGAGTGTATGTATATGTATGCATTTCGTGCTTTTACTATGACCTCCCTAGCTTAAACATAGTAACACTTCTCTTGTGCTTCCCATATTTTTTAATACATCCAAAACAGCATGAACTTTTAAAGCTACCACTGCGATACTTGATTGCTTCCATAGTAACGCAATAGTTATGAAGTATTTAAATTCAGACCAAAATTACTGCATAACTGGAAAAAATAACTCTTGTCAAATTCAGCAAGCAAATATCAAGCATTTTTCAATCAATGATTTCTAAAACAGGATTGTTTCTAAAAAAGACCACCAAATCGACTTCTTCATATATAGAAAATAAAAAATTTTGAAATAACTATTTTTCTTAAACTTGCACTGACAAAGGCAGGAAAGAAGGCTAGCACACAAATATTACTTAACTTTTCAAACAAAAGTGGAACGAAAGTGATCAGAGAGCTACGAACAAGTTCATAGGTTTGAAACTCTCCATAATTACTGCTCAACAAATCCTATATCTCCAGTGCCTGTTCTATAAACATGAACAATGAAAACAGTAAAGTTTTACAACAAAAATAAAATGAAGTGATAGTGAAGGAACAGCATGCAAAATTACTTACTTTTTTGTGATCTAACCGATTCTGTTTGGATGCCTCAAAATACTGTCGTTTTTCCTTTTCACTCATATTTTTCCACTTCTCACCCATCTAAAATAATGAAATAAAATTTTCGTGAGCAGCTAATCAATCCTGAATATGTTAGGAACATGCTTACAATTCTGCTTGCTTCATGCATTTTCATATTTGGATTCAAAGCCAGCAATTTCTTTCGTTCTTGTTTTGTGAATATCATATAAGCATTCAGAGGTCTTCTAATGAACTGGTGATCGTCTGCAATTTATTTTTATTTCTTTCGTATTTATTTCATACAAGTTTCGCTTAAATTTGTCTGTCACAGCAGATAAAGAAGGAACAAAGATCGTGATGATTTAAAGTATATTCTCGCTACTAAACTTTTTACGAAAACAACATTTTTCCTTAATTATATATAGAAAATTCTATAGATACAAAAGGGAAGCCTTAAAAATAGAAATACCGCCATATCCTGATTTAAATCAAATTTAATATTTGGCAGAAACCTGCAGGTGATGCGGATTGTATTCGATGCATATAAATGTTGTTCGGCAAACTGACAACATGTGATGGACTTTCCACCCTAGCATTTTCGCCAATACCGCTTTGATATCTGAAATGAAACATTGCAAAAAAGCAGGAGTGAAATTTTTTCATCCAGAAAATGACCTCAGAATCGCAAATACTTACTAAAATTATGTAGTCAATGTGTATCTTATATACCGATATATATTATATAAAACATACCATACGGAGTGCACTACGTTTTTGAAAATGTGAATACATTCTCTGGACATCCCACTTAGGACTTCCTGAACTAGCCTTTCTAATCAAATGTTAGTTAATCCTCCGATGAATATTGCTCCTTTCAGTAAACCAATTTTCCTAGGCAACTTAATACAGGTTCTGTGATGTTTGCTCACTATAATTTACGCAAAAAAAAATATTACCATCAAGAACTTCCTATGACATCAACTTCAATATCGAAAACACTAACAACACACTGTTTTATATAATAAATGATGACATGATCAACATGAAGATAAAACAGAAAAAGTTTGGAGAATATTCAAGAAAAATTTTCAAATAAGACTGAGTTGCATAAAGAATTTCGAAAGCAATACACTTGAATTGCTAACACTACTTGCATCTAATTTCTTTTCTGTTATTCATCGAACAGTCTCACCAAAACAGTAATAGCATTCAATTAACATAGGTCCTGTGATGTCTGTTCATTATAATTTATCTAATGGTCAGAAAAAAAATACCCATTAAAGCATGTTCCTTGACTGTCGGGTAGTGAGGATGACGCCGCTGGTGAAGATGATGCGCTAGTGGAAACCAATGGGGTCGAGCTGCGACTCTCATCCACAGACATTCAATCCCCTACACGCTTCGAAATGCTTATAAGTTTATATGTGACATAAATGTTTTCGACATAAGAATGGTGTAATGTGCAGTTGGAAATGGAAAATAAATAGCATAAATTTGTAAATTAAAATATATAATATGTAACAAGAAATCGATAACTTTTTGGCTTTTCCTATAAAGAAATTTTTTCGACAAACAGATTAGATCGTAAACTTTGAAATCCTGTACTTTTTCCAAAAACATAAGGTGTTAAGAGTTGGGAATAAGAATTATGCATATTACAACGTATATCGATATTACAAGTCACTATGATATGCAGATACACATTTCCTTTTCCAGAAATGCATGATTATTGATTTCAGAGTAGTGAAAGATTTTATCAAGCATATGGTATTCTTGACTGACTAGTCTAATAAGCATTCACTTTCTCCCAATTAATTCATCGGGAAATATGCACACAATAATCTTGTTGATGTTGCAATTGCATGATAAGACTTCTTTGTGGAACAAAAAGTCATCTGACAGTGACAAAATGTAATTCCTATTTGCAATATAACAAGTCATCTAGATTTAACACAATGCACTATGTCGTTCTGATGTAATGATCAACAATGTAGCATGACGTATCACCTAGTTTTAACAGTAGATTATTTAAATATGATAGGTCATTTGATCCTCACATTATAGATTGTCTAACTGCGACAATAATTTTACATTTGAAATTTCAAGCATTGTGTTGCAAAAGGAAGTTTTCATTATAATGCGTTTTCATTATATTCATTATTTACTAATTATTAGCCAATCATAGTTCTAAATAAATTACATATCATAATAATTTAGTATGAATTCAACAAAACATTGAGAATTATATGTATGCATTAATGGTAAAATGCTATCTATTATCTATCTATCTATATATATATGGTGCAATAAGCATGAAAATCTTACGAACAACAAAATTCATTTAATTTATATATTTCTTCATGCAAATACTATGCAATTATGGCAAGACAATCAATAGCTAATTAAAACAGTTAAGTTAGCAAAGTAAAAATGATTGTATGAGGCGAAAAAAAAAAAAAAACAGAAGCAATATTGGACATAATGTGGGGATGAAGAAAGGCAAAAATATATTCCTTCTCTTGGAATTTAACGAGAAAATTAGTTAATATTCAAGAATAATTCTCATTTTCGTTCAACATATAAGTCAGAAGTGACCTTTAACCTCGAGCTCAGCAACTCCTCTTCTCCCCACTCGCATCACATCCGCCCACCACCCATGTCCACTCATGCGCACTCCCCCTCACTGCACAGACAACAGATGATATATCGTAAAGTCACTGACGTCATGTTTTCCTTATGTGTACATACATGTATATTGCAGCACAATATTATCAGTTCTAGTGATAATTTTATTGATAAGTTTTTTGAGAAATGTGGTATGGTTAAATGTAGATATAACCTGAAACTGTCTTATAATGTTTAGGATTGCTTTAAAAAAATTAACAAAATATCAGTGTAGTGAGATTATCACACAATGTGATAAATAATTAACTCTTCTAACATATTACACTATCTTATCACCTTATCAAAGAATGCGAATGGTACTGTAATGAAGAATTTTAGCAATTAATAACGAATAAATGTGATCAACATATAGATATTGATAACTGATAATAAATATGTGTCATTTGAGAGAGAGAGAGAGAGAGAAGTGATATAATGATTAAATGATATTGCACTGATGAAATGAATAATGTTTTAGTTAATTGAATCATTATTTGTTTTCATTTGTTAACATTAAAAGCTCTTTTTTTAACTTTGCTTTTTCTAAATCATTTGAAATTTTAAAATTAATTAGAGAAAAAAAAAAAGAATAATTTATTGAATTAATCAACTTTTATTCTCATACACTCTCCCTTTCATTCACATTTTTATCCTTTGATGGATATCTTTGTGAATGAAAACAATACGAGAATTATACTTTTTCATCGGGAAAACAGCGCAATTTATCTTTCTTTTCCCCTTTCTCTATCTCTCTCTCTCCCTCTCCCACTTCCTCTCTTTCTGTCTTTTTGTGTATATTTATCTGTCCATCCATCTATTCACCTATCTATTCGTCTATATTTTCATCTATCTCTCTCTATCTGTCTCTCTTCGTCTATCCTTTTCTCTCTCTTTCTGCCTTTATGCTATTATGGTGAAATATTTTCAAAATGTTTGAATTCCTAATAGTTTCTTTAAATTTAATTTCAACATTGGAAAGATTAAAATTTCAAATTTTTAATTAATGTTAAATTTTGTAGTGAAATATAATGGTGTATAATTTGTGTTATTTATTTAGTTTAAATCAATTATTTACAAATATAAAAATTTAAAAGAAAAAGGAAAAGGTAAAAGATCGATTATTTTGTTGTTTATATTTAGGTAAATGGTTGTTACTATGTATATATCAAACTAATCAATGGGAAAACAACAAGAAACGATTAAAATTAATATTTTGTTAAAATATTTAAATGTGAAACATTTATAAGAATTATATACTTTTATACTAATAATAGAATACAAATGATTTGTAAAAAGTGAAAATTAAACACTAAAAAATTGATATCAATCTATCAAATCAAATGATAATTGCATCGAATAAGAAAGTTTTCATTTATCATTAATCCAATGCTAATTTATTTTCATAAATAATTAGCATTAAATGAAATTGTAAATAACACATACATATTTCAATTTAATTTTAAAATAATATTCTTATAGATGCATATAAGGCTATTAGCTATTGATTAATTTACTAGTCAGCTAATAATATTAGGAGAGAATAATTAATAAATATTAAACAGACATAAAGCGTTTCAATCATTTACTATCATCCATTGCTAAATTAATTGACTACTTCATAGCAGCAAAATTAGCATTTCATTTTCTCTCATCCATTTAATCAAATTAAATTTCAATAGCTTCTCAAAAATCAATAATATATTTATATGTGTACAATTAATTCATAATTTTATAACATTCCAATGAAAATTGAATTGCAAATCTTAAATTTAGCATTTTTTAAATGAAGGCAATCTAATTTTAAAAAATGTGAATACGACTCTAATTTTTTTTTAGATAGAAGACTTGATTTTATTAAGAGATATGAAATAAATTGTTAATTAATCATATCTGCTGTTTTATTATTATTATTATTATTATTATTATTATTATTATTATTATTATTATTATTATTATTATTATTATTATTATTATTATTATTATTATTATTATTATTATTATTATTATTATTATTATTATTATTATTATTATTATTATTATTATTATTATTATTATTATTATTATTATTATTATTATTATTATTATTATTATTATTATTATTATTATTATTATTATTATTATTATTATTATTATTATTATTATTATTATTATTATTATTATTATTATTATTATTATTATTATTATTATTATTATTATTATTATTATTATTATTATTATTATTATTATTATTATTATTATTATTATTATTATTATCATCATTATCATTATCATTATCATTACTATTATTCGACTTATTTTGTTGAATTATTCTTGTAATTCAATGCTACACAATTGTGATCAATGTTTTTATCAATCGATTGATTACAGTTATCACTATTGTTTTCATCGATTGATCAGTGAATCGGTTTTATGATTGGATGTTTGCAGTATGCGACATTTGTCAGTCAGGTGATCGTTACCTCAATAGTCCTTCTTATGTAATTTTTTAAAATCATTTATCAATGGAAAATAATTTTTTTCTCACTCGAAATTTCATGGCGTTTCTTTTTCTGAGGATAAATGGATGTAAAAATTTTGTTTATGAGATCATTTTATCTGTGTAAAAATTAATTCATACATTAAACAATGTTTTAACATTGCCCACCTAGAAATGAACGAATCATCGTAATTTAAATGAATAATTCAGTTAAGCATATTTCAAAATCATATTTAATGTTTATGAAATGTTATAATAAAATTTTAATAAATTTAGAAAAAAGAAAATTATATTGTTGTAAATGATAAGATGATGGAAGAATTTATCAGAGAGAATATGCAAAAATTAAAAAAAGATTAATTCTTTTTATTAAACTGTCTCATTTACTTTTACTCATTTATTGCAAATATACTCAAAAAAAAAAAAAACTTCTGCAAATTACTAAATTTTATTACAGTCTGAAATCTGTTACTAAAATTTATTAGAGTTTAAACATCCCTAATTAAATCAACTAAAAAAAAATAAAATAATGAAGTTGTAGATCTTGATTTTTATCTAAGCTTTTCTTACAATTTCACTATTATAATGAATTTAAAGCAACATAAAAGGTATGGATGAAGAGGTGAACAGAGAAAGAATGAATTAGATCACGATTAAAAATAATTTTAGGAAATCAAAGTCCCTTTTCGATTATTTATGCCAAATAAAAATCAATTTATCACTATTTGCCTGATTTCACATTTCTAAACTCATTCAAAATTCGTTCCACTTGTCATTTATGCTATCCTTCAACCGGTTCTTTTTGTACTCAACAATTCCTTCACTTTTTTTATGATGTAATTACCAGGAAATTTCACCATGACATTTATCATAACTCATTGCAAATCTTTTTTTTGCACTGATGAACTTAAATTCGTTACATAAAATAATGCTTTTAATCAACTTTCCAGGGAACTGCTAATATCATATTGAATTTAAATTGAAAATATCATGATATAAAATTATTTGTCAGAGATACTTCAAATCATAATTAGTGACTTCAACATGCTTAAATTTTATTTATTTTCTCGAGGAAAAAAAAAATTTATTTCTCATCCACTGAAGAAACTTCTTATCGCGATAACATCGAAAGTTGTAGAAAACTTTGAGAGCTATTTAAATGCCACGAATTATGAGAATCAATCAGTGCCAACAACGGTATTAGAAATATTTCTCCACTATTAAATGAGACAAATTTTAGCTTC